ACGGTGGTAGGTCGTGTGCTAAATACGAGAATACGTCGAAGGAGAAAGGACGAGCGTGTCAAAAAGAGAAAGAGAGATAGATAAATAGAGATAGAGATAGAGAGAAGTTGCATAGACGCGGATGCACTTTTAGAAGTACGATGAACCATGAGGAAGAAACTAGAAAGGCGTGGGATAGAGGTATATAAATCTGCTTGCATAAAGATTATCGTGTAAGATCTCTTCTTTGCGACTAGCCGACATTTTTGCGATCAACTCTTGTAATTCTTAGACCCTGGGAATTCTCTCGTGAACGTGAATATCTATCTATATATATATATGTGTGTGTGAGTGTGTGTGAATGTGTGTGTATGTGTGTGTGTGTATACATATATGTATGTCTTGTGTCTAGTTACGTTCGTATAAATACATAATATCGTAAATGAACAAGAATGTGTTTCGTATGCCGGTTAACCCACTTCTCACGACGCCACACACCTTTTACGCATGAGACCAGATCACCTTTTAAACGTGTAAACGTTCGCTTATGTGTGCAGTAACACACAACATATACTGATACACTCGTAAAATTCTTCTTTCGTGCTAATTAACGTAACGAAAAAGTACAAAAAAAGAGAACAACTATTACATTCTCTGAACGTTGAGGAAATCCGAATTAGCAAACTTCCTCTATAACATCATGTAACTTTAAAGTGACGTAGTTATGTTTATAACTTTTAATTTTTCATTTCATTTCATTCCTACACATTCAATTTTTTGTATTGTATAAATTGATTTAACATTTATAAAATAATTTATATTGTATAAATTATTTAACATCCAGTACAAGTAATATCATGTAGTTTTGTTTATAGACACGACGAAAATAAAAAAAAACAAGGAAATTGAATTATAAGTGATCAATTCTTTATAAAATTTAATTTTGAAATTATGTGTTTATATTAAATTTTATTTCATTTTATCTTTAAAAACTTAATGATCAAATATTAAGTCATACTTAATATTAGTATAAAACTAATACTATAAAATTTCTCATTATATAATTCTGTTTCTAGATATGACAAAAATCTCGATTATAGAGGATTAACTATTTATAACCTTGTGTAACTTTAAATTTATATACTTAGTTATATATATCCGTATTTTAAAAAAATTTTCTTTCGTTTTATCGATAAAAACTATATTGCTACTTTATAACCAAATCTCCTAATAGTTTTAAATAATGTAAGCGATACTATTTTATAAATTTTACGTGATATATTTTTTATTAGAATAGAAGAAAAAAATTGATTAATAAAAAGAGTTAACGTAAAAAAAAATATATAAAGATGATAAGAAAGTGAACTTAGATAAAATTAATTCGTTCTTTAAGAAAACCAAGTTAAATGTGTTCGACTCGATGAAGTGTCGAAATTCAATTTATCACCGTAGTCATCAATAAATTATCCAATTAGAGCGAATCGTTTTTCAGCGTATATTCGGTACCCTTTTTGCGAGACAACGATTCTCTCTTCTCGATTCTCGCTAACACCGGGCACGCCCCTTTCTTTTTTTATTTGATTTTCGATTCTGCACGCCCCAAGAGCAAATCTTTCGTGTAATTTCCAATATTTCCGTATAGCCTCGATCGAACATGTGTCCTCGGCGGTTTCGATTTCACGGGGATCTTTTATCGACGACTGGTACGTTATAGTACGAATTTTCAAAGTGTGAAAAGGGTTGCTGCCGTTAAAATTATATCGACATAATTTTTTTTTAGGGAAAGGGTAGACCCGAATATCGTAGGGTCTTCAAAAACATCGAAATGCGACGAATGTATGAAACGAAAAAATTTATTTTTTTCTGACGTTCTATCTCCTTCGTAAATTTTTACGATTAAATCTAAGTACATATCATATTGTAGACTGCAATTTTATGGAAATTTTCTCATCATATTAAAATAAATGCACTTGATCAGTATGTTCGTAATCATTAGTATGAAATTAATCATGATCAGTTAAGTGCCATTTGAAGGGAAATGTTGTAAACAAGTTATATGACGTTAATTGTTTCTGAGAAAGCGCGAAAGTCTACGCTAGAGTGATCATGTTTAAGCGACCGTCTCTAATTGTGAAAAAGAAACATTTCTCCAAGGAAGCAAATAGAAAATATCGACGTAACAGGAAATAATGTACAAATAATATATACGTTCTAATAACATTCGTATCCAATAATATCACATCTATATTTATACGACAAGTTTTCTTTACCTGTATGCAAAAATTATATTATACTCTATCCTAACCCTGACATTGGATTGTAAGTTCTCGTCTCAATGATATAGCGGAAACGTTTCTTTTACTTTCTCCGAGACAACTAATTTACCTAAAGTCGTTAAACGAGAAATCGTACGAGAAAGAAAACTCGTTACATCCAATAATCTAACAAAACCGCATGAACTTTTCTCGAAAGTAGTTTCGTCGTTTCGTTTGGACATAAAAGTAAATTGCATAGAAAAAAAGAAAAGACAAGAAAAAAAAAAACAAAAAAGAAAAAAAATGTAACCTCATCGATTTCACGTTACAAAATGGCTATAACTCGAACAAAATATTTTAAAATACGAATGGAGGAATAAAAAGGAAAAAAAAGAGAAAAAATAATCCTATCGAAACTATCGAAGGAATTATCATATGGATTTTAGCGATAATTTCACTGTAATATTTTTCAGAAAAAAAATAAAAGAAAAGAAAGGAAAAAAAGTAGCTGCGATCGATTCAACAGGGAAAAGAGCGCGAATCGACGTGAAAAAAGGGTCGACGGTGATTTGCACCACCAGCGCGAGAAGTTCTGTTTGTTCTCATTGAAGAAATTATTGACAGTGCACTCAGAATAGCGTGAATATGTCATGATAACAAATCGTTAAGCAAACAGACCACACGTGGGTCCTGATATATTTTTCGTTCCTATATACGTCACCTCGGTGTCTTTTATATTGTTCGTGACGGTTCAAAGAGACACGATTAATCGAAGCTACACACGACGGGGATGTAAAGATAGAATTATTAAAATTCATAAGCCACGATTTTCCAATTTTTTATTAAATTACTTCTCTTACGTAATTGACAACATGATCGATGGACGTTTACACGTTTTCTTCGTCACCGGTATGCCCTATCTTTCTGTTGATCCCTTTACACACTTTAACTTCGAATTCGTGAAAGAAATCTATTATAATTTCCTAATTCGATATCTTTTTTGAAATCAATAAGAAAGTTCCATACTAAAATTTTCTAATGAAATATCTATATTATATATGCGTGTGTGTGTGTATTTTGGTGTGTGTGTGTGTGTGTGTGTATAAATATATAACATTTTCAAATTTGTATTCTTCGAAAGGTATGAATTATCAGATGTTTCCTAACATAAGTCTTTTGCAAGTAGAAATGACATAAAATCTGTTTGATCAACCAAATTTGCAATTCGACATTATTCTTACATCGTATGACATCGTCAGACTGATGGTTTCTATAGCAATGTCATAGGTATTATCAACTGATTAGCGGATGCGACATATGGTCGTAGTTGGCTTTATTAGATTACCTGCCACTTATGCTTTAGTTACACATTGAACGTCGCGATCGAATCGAGATCTTTTGAAAGTGCAAATTTCTATATATAGACAAAACTCTCATTTTTTCTTTCAGGTGAGTTAACAAACACTAATTGATCTATTACAAAACTTACAAAGTAGATTTCTATAAGAATAGACTTGCGGTCTAATAAAATTCGTTCTTGTAATAATACCTCCCCCTGATGATATGCAATCCTTTATGCTGTGCAGTTAATCTGGCATTAATCCTTAGAAAATATAATCTACAAAATATTATATAAAACGTTAAAAAACGATATATGTTTATTAAAAAAAAAAAAAAATAAAAAAAAGATAATATAATTTCTGAGACATAAGAGATAAATTTATCCTATTCGATTAAACTAATTGAGAAAAATTTTGTAGAAAATCTTTTAGATCATAAGCATGTATACAAAGGATACGTATGATAGATTTGATCTGTAAAAACGAGACAAGGTGAACTATGAAAGACTCCGAGACAGAAAACAACAGAAACGAAACATGGAATTCTCCGTAACTATGGCTCGAGATAAATCATTTTGTTTTCTCGGTAGACAGACTTAAAAAGAAGGGCTCGGTTGTACGCGAAATCTCAAAGCGGTGTAATCACCCTAAAAACCTCTAATCTTCTAACAAGGCAGCTACATACTTCTCTGTCTCTTTCATTTTCTCTCTCTCTCTCTCTCTCTCTCTTTCTCTTTCTATCTATTTCTCTCTCATTCTCTCTTTTCTTTTTCTCTATGGCACGCGTCTAATGCATATAGAGAAAAGTGGGGGTAAGGGAGAGAAAATGGGAGGAGTGAAGAGAAGAGAGAGGGACGAAGGGAGAGGAAGTTAGGTACCCCTCCGCAGTGATTATGGGGTGAACTCTTGGTACGGTGCCCCATAGATGGTGGCTGTCGAGTCTCGTGGAGGGGGCGAAATACCCCCGGGACGGTATATATGCTCTAAGAGCCCCTTCCCACATGCACAGTACCAAATTGTACCCCGCCTAGTCCGCTCGTTCGATTCTTATTTTCGCTTTTACGTTCTTTCCTATTCTCTTATTCATCTCTTTCGAAGTTTGATTATGACGTGATGAATACGTACGATTGCGAATATTAATTCAATATTTGAGATTTTATTTGAATTCAATTGTGATTCTGTGTGATCGTTCGTGAAATATTTTCTGTTTTCCAAAGGATAATTCATTTCTACTGTCATCTTCGATAATACGCTCAAGGTATACGGAAAATAGAACGAGCCTATTTCTTTGAAATATAAAATGAAAACTTTCAAGTGTATAATTGTTTAATAAAGTAACGAAAAATAAAAGAAAAAGAAACTTACTCGTCTGTTGTTCGATTATCACGTAAGCGTGATTGTCTTCGTGTTATAGTGTATCTCCGTGATGTCATCGGAATATTCATTCTGTAGCGAGGGAGGCTTTGACGAACTGTCCAGTTCATCCGACTCCGTTTTGATGTTAGCTTCGAGTCTCCGAAACACGAATTATCCGCGGATGGTCTCTTTCCACCTGTGAAAGAAGAAAAACGGAAGAAAACTCGGAATACTCGATGTAAAAGTCCCACTCAGGTAAATATTTTTAAAGAATGATTCTAAATTGCCTTTTTAAACAATGATTCTAAAGTGCCTCTATAAGCTTTCTGAACTATTACTTATTTACCCATCGTATCAATGAATTTCTCTATTTTATCACAATTAATTTTCGTATCATCTTAAAAATTAAAAAAACGTAAATCCTTAAGATATTACCTGACAAAAAAGAATAAGAGAAAGATGGGAATGATAAAAGATAAAATAAAATAAAATAAAATAACAAGAGATAGAGAAATGAGTGAACAAGTGAAAGAATCCTATTTTCTTTGATACTTTAGGTACTCAGATTGAAAAGGAATCGTCGGATAAAGGCGAACGATCGAGAACGGCACAGAATGCACACGCTGAACGATGCACTAGAGAGACTAAGAATGGCTTTACCTACATTTCCAGAAGACACCAAGTTGACAAAGATCGAGACCCTTCGGTTCGCTCACAATTATATATGGGCTCTCTCTCAAACATTAGGAAACTCTGAGAGTGGCGAAGTAACCGTTAACGTCGGCAATGTAACAGTCAGCATCAGCGAGAACGGTAACATGATCACGTCTTCGACCGGAAGCTGTGCTGTAGCTGCACAAAAACGACTTGGACCGAGTCACCCAACAACATTTCCTTATCCTCAGGAAAGATTCGTGCCGGAATGGCAAGAATATGATTGCTATAGCGATCAAAGTGTCAGTCCACCGATACCACAACAATATCAACCGTGTTACGAGCAAAGGATGTATCCACATCATCAAATTCATCAGCCACATCATCACATGACTCATCACAACAGCATGTATCAGTGCCTTTAAGATTTGGACATTGTATTGTATCGTCTGTTTTCTTCCGTGTTAGATTTTCATGCAACGAAATAGCAGACGAAATCCCTTGATCTACCTGTGTCATCGACATCGAATTTATTTTTATTATATGTATCGAGCCATTATTCGTATTTGAATATTTTGAGTACTAGGATGGTTCTACCGGTCATGTGTTCTCTTTGCGCGAACTTTCTATCGCGTAATAATAATACCAAAGTGTTTGCTACGTTTCGATAAATTTAATCGAGAGGGAGAAAAAGAAAGAGAGAGAGAGAAAAAGAGAGAGAGAGAGAGAGAGAGAAAGAAAGAAAAAGAAAGAGAGAATTTACTGTAGAGTATCGTCGGTATATATTTACGATGCAATAACGAAAACGTTTGGAAGAAATGCGATGGAGAAATTATTTTCTTACTGTTGCGATCGTTTTGCAATTTTGAACGAACAGTTAATTGAAAATCAATGAGTAATAATAATGCAAATTTATTACGTACGAAAGTACAAAACTCAGCGATAAGTTTTATCGTATTTCTTCTCCTTCGTAACTATTATCAGTATAACCGGTTTAATCGAGAGACTTCAAGTCGATAGTCGATTAGAAGTCGTAGAAGAAAAAAAATTAAAGAACAATACTAAAAGGTTATCGTTATCTACTTTGTAAGAGAGTAATCTATTTAAATTGAATTTAGAACGCTTAAGCTAATTATAAGTTAATCATTATTACACACATACGGTCATTATCAGCAGTCTCTTCTAAATCCTTCGATCTCGATAGTTCCGAATTATAATTTTTATCGGATTTCTTTCATAGATACATATTTTCACGCGTTCCTCATTGTTCTAGTCATCGATGTTTTTAAGTTGATCTCGAACGCTTGATCTCATTTTATCTGTAACATAAGTCATGATAAAGATCAAATTTTTAATTTTATTTTATATTAATTAGATATAAAATAACGTTTTCCCCACGCCAGTGCTCTTATCTTAATACGGAATTTTATCCATTCAGGGAATATATATTGTACAGACTTTATACTTACATCAATAAATCATATTTTACATATATACATACCTACATATTATCATTGTTATCCTTCATTTAACGATACGAAATAATCTTCGTCGAATTGGCTAAGGAACCACTTTGCAGGAATGAAATCGCTTCCTATTTGGAATGAAAGAACACGTGCCGCGGCACGTGTCCTTTAGAAGAACGAGCATGGGGCAGATGTATCACAAATCGTTCCTGAGATTACACCTACCTAACTAATCCAACGGATTACATTAGGAACGTGACTTTGAAATGCTTAGAAAACATAACAATTGAAAAACAGATTTTCCTACCGCAAAATCATCTATGATATTCCATAACAAAATGACATTCGTAATAATTCACAATAAAATGTATAAATCGAAACTGGTAGGAACTATGCAAAACTCGAAGAATATCCATTTGTATTCAGAAAATAGGAACTGCAACGTTAGACCATTATTTCCATAATAAAAGTAAGTAGGCGTCACCCACTTTGTGATCCAAATGGCAAGTGTTAGAAAAATAAATAACTGAATAGGAATACTTCATCGGAACGGAAAAGTCAACCCGAGAGAGTGACTTTATCAAAACATTCGTGAAAAGGACAGTATCGAAGGAAAATATTTTGCTTCGATCTTGCAAACGTACATTTCTTTAACGTCGAATAATATAATAGAGAATTATTGAAAAATGTTAAAACAACACTTGTTAATTGAATCTGACGGTGCCATCCGAACAAACAAAAATGAAAAACAATTTTTAAGTAACAGAAGAACGGTAGAAAGCTTGTCATTAATTCTTATCTTCATAGCTATTTTTAATTTTGATAATTCGTCAAAATAACATCCCGCTTGTGTAAATTTGAGCGCAATTAAAAATACATTTTACAGGTAATTTGCTAGTTATAAATCATATAAATTCGTTACGTAGTTTAACATTCGATCAATAATTTCGTATAGAGAGAAAGGCAGAAAAAGAGAAAGAGAGAGAGAGAGAGAGAGAAGTTATTTGCAAACAGCTCGCAAGCTGCGACGAATCCGTTAGCATGCTCGATCGTTTCCCCAAATCTTGCCAATAATGGTAATGCTTCAATAGAACCATTATGTCGACGATATATCACTGTGTGCATAACGCGACAGAAGGTTCAGGATCCAGACAGATTCTATTGGGATCTAGGATTTTAGGGGATTCGATCGGTTTTTGTCGATGCTAGTACCCCGCTCCCAATAACCAATCAAACGTTCCCCGAATCACGTTTTTCAACATGCAAACTATAATGATATCGATAAGAATTAATGAAGGAAAAAAAACGGTTACAATTTGCAATTTTTAAATTAATTTGATAACAGGCAATGAAATAATGTAAAAAAAATTTTTTTTAACATGAAAATATTGTCGTACAGCAAAGGTATAAAAACCTTTTTCAGCTTATACAGACAACTCACGGCAAATCGTGATTTCACTTTAATCGACCTTTCGTTGGGTCGTTTCCGTCGAGTGCACATATCGATCGCATGCACGACCGTCATTGTGTTGGGGTGCTGGTCTGTACGGTGACATACTGGTGGCTGACAGCCTTGGCTCCCCCGTTGAGAGAAGAGAAAGAAAGAGAAAGAGAGAGAGAGAGAGAGAAACAGACAGACAGAAAAAGAGAGAGAGAGAAAGAAAGACTATATAAGAGAAAACAGAAAGAGAGAGAGGGGATAACTCTCAGCTACGAATTCGAAAACAGCAGAGAGGGGAACGTTTTCCTAATTCACGAAAATTCGTGAAATTACCTTGACCGAATCGTTGAGCACTTAATCGAAGATTAATGGCCATGACTGCGAAGCAAGATCGTACCCTGCTGTCAATCGAAAAGAATCCATTCTCTCCGTGAACAAAATATTGATCTTCGATGATATTTTTAAATAATATTAAATATCTGAAACGCACAATGAAAAAATTTTCGATTATTCGTTTTCGACTCAATTTCTATTCAATAAGAAACTATGAAATTTCATCGGTTACAACGTTATAACTATTAGGTAGTGTAATTTTTTTTCTTCTTTTCTTTATCTATTTTTTTTTTGTATTTTTTTTTTAGGAAATAAGAAAGAATAGGGAACGTGTTTACCCTAAAAGACTATCGACAGAGACAGACACGGGCGGCCGACACGAATACGAAATAAAAAGGAGAGAGAACTCGAGAAAGATCTTTCAGCTTCGTATTTCGGCATCTGTTTAGCTCGTGCTACCGTAGCTAGCGTAGAGTGCTGCTTTGCTGTTGGTAGTACATATATGCGTGGGGTAGAAAGACGGCTTTTCATTGTGAATTGGCATTTGCAGGCCTTTGTGCTAAACCACAAACAATGGACATTGGAACAGTGCGTCATGGAACTCGTCCTCTGAGTTTCCTTCTTATCGGATATACATATATATATATATATATATATATATATTATTAACGAGAATCAGTTATCTAAAATATAGAAAGCTCTTTTATTTGAAAATAATTCTTCATCTGAGAAAATTGCTGAAATCTATTAAGGAAAAAAATCAATATCAAGGAAGAATGTCGTACGATCAAACGTCAGAAATATCATCATTTTCGTCGAAGTTGAAAAGACCGAGAAAAGTTGACAGTGACTATCGAAAATACAAGTACTGGAGCCAGAGTACAGAGTACTTTGACTCGCGATAGAAATATAGGGGACAGATGTCTACGGGGGGCAGGTGTACCCCACCGTACGCGTGCCAACCAACCCCCCACTGTGCTGCCATTCAAGACTATAATTTACTTGAAGAATGCCCGGCGTAGCTAGGCATTCATCACGAGATGACGCGAGCTGGTCCCTGTTTCATCCAACCTCCGAGTCCTTCGGAGTCGATCGTTCGTCCCCAGCTTGCAAACCATAAGCGATAACACCACGAATTAACGATCGACGTTTACCAGCGTTTCTCTTGATCAATAAAATCTGTCTCTTTTGTTCATTTAGTATTTTCTTTTTTTTTTCTTTTTTTGGAATAAAAAAATAAAAAGTAGTCACAAACATACACATACACACACATATACACTGATTACTAAAATATATTAAAGAATTCAATATTAAGAAAAAATATATAATATAAAGAATACAAAATTATTTATGCATTTTCATTCTCACTCTCTCTCTCTCTTTCTCTGTCTTTCTGTCTCTATTAAATCTTCTTACATTTCTGAATAAATTCGAATGGTATATGCACGTATTATTAATCGCAATGAGCCGTATCGACGCCCCCGAATCAGACTTTAATCACATATAAGAGCATGGATTAGAGTCTATGTTAGAACCGCCTTGGACAAATCATTGATTTAGCTTCATTGTGGATCGTTCGCGGAAGTACGCGTTTTATTGGGTCTATGGGGTGAGCTTACGTAGGATTACACGCGTGCCTCAAAGCGCATTTGATCTCGAACGGTGAGTCTGTATGCGTTTTATTTGAACCAGGGGTGGAGTTTGTTCCTTATATGGACTTAACTAAAAAAGAAAAATATAAATATATATACGACAAAATCCAGATGGAGCAATGTTTACACGAATCCGTATCGAAATAATTTGATCGAATAAATAATAAAAATAAATTAATAAAAATACAAATTCAATGCTAAATCAAAGACTTTTTGAAATTTAAGTAAGTAGTTACCTCGTAAAAATTTGATATCCGAAAGCTTGAAAAAGTGTAATTTTCGTGAAAAGCATTGAAAAGCTAAATGTAACAGCGATGAATATAGAATTTCACATTTATTCTCGCATAATCCCCTAAATCGTCGGCGAAGAGTAACTTAATATCATAACTGGGTCGGTTCAAATTGATGAACTAACCGCGAGCCAGCAAATAGTAATTTAATATCGCTAGAGCTTCTCTTTGAGAGTAGACAAAAAAAAGAAAATACTATTGAATGGTAGAATGATTTCACGCAAGCATTACTCACGTGAATGACGAAACCAATCGTACGCTGCCGTGGCGAAAGGTCGGTCAGTTGCCCGTAAAATTTTAAACTCGCTAAAGAAGGACGTTCGGCGAACTTATGACGGAATAATGAGGGCTCGGACCGTTTGAATACGCGCCATAAATTTCATTCAATGCTACGACCTCTTAAAATCCAAAAGAAAATGTATATATATGTATATATACGTATACATATATATACATATATATATATATGTGTGTGTAACAAGAACATTTGTAAAAATTATACATGTAAAATAAAAACTTCCACGGACATGTCAAAATTTCATGTCAACTTTTGATCGTATTACAGATACAAATCATCATGAATGAAAAATAATATAAACGTTCTACAAAATAATTATTCAAGAAGATGGGAAAATATATGCTATGTTATTCCTCCACTTTACACGGTGCCGGTCTCATAAGCAGTCAAGTGGTAATGCCGGTAGCTCGTGCCTCATGAAGTTTTCTATCCTTCTCGTACCCAAGTAAAAATCCCTCGGTTTGTCGTCTCTTCTACCCTCCGTTTCCCCCTTCGGACACTGGCTGGCAGCTCATTAAACACCCACAGTAGCCCTCGGGCAGGGCCGAGCCCTCACCCTGATTTAACTATTGTTCGATTCGTCTGTGTATTACGTACGTGCTCCTTCAAATACATATATAGATACATACATATAGATATACATACATAGTGTACACACATGGCTGATCGTCGTCGACATCAACGATGGCAGCACCTTCAACTGGCGAACGCGTTCGCCATCATCGAGGGACGGCAACTTCGGCCATCTGTCCGTATTTCGATTCGCGCCAACTCCAAAAACCACCTACGAACGCCAGTGGTTCTTAGTTTGATGCACGAAAGAAGAGAGAGAGAGAGAGAGAGAGAGAGAGAGAGAGAGAGAGAGAAAGAGAGAGAGAGAGAGAAAGAAAAAGAGAAAGAGAAAAAGAGAGAAAGAGAGAAAGAGAAAACGAGAGAAAAAGAAAGGGGGTACGAAAACGAGATTTAGTCGGAGAATGCAGAGGGTACATGTGTTGAGGTCGCTTCCTCCCTCGGGGTTGATTCGCTAACAAGCTCTCCACTCGAATCGATTCAGTTTCTCTGAGTTTTATATAAACTAAGAAAAGGTTCACTGAATATCCAAGTTCTTTTAGTTTCCTATTGAGATCATGCGAAAATCTAACTCTCGTAAATCATTATGATATCCAAATAAAATAAATAAAAAAAAAGTTTCCTGAATGTATTCTATGTCATATATATATATATATATGACATAGAATATATATGACATATATATCAGTAGAGTATTGCATCTAAAAAACCAGAGGTAACCTTCAAATCTCCTATATAGCTCCACTTATAGAAAAGTTATATATACCACGTAATGTCCCTCTTGATACCATGTAACCTCTGCAGAAATAATTTTTTGTACGATGCAAAATTTAAAAATTATTCGAGATGATCAAGTTAGATACCTCACCCGGTGTATATATATATATATATCTAAACACGAAAATAAAAGATAATATTATATAAAAGACAGGTGTATGTATATGAGAGATCTTTCTCTCTCATGATTTATCATTATTATAACTGAAATCGTACCGTTCGTTGTATTGAGCACCACCGGAAGGAAAGAATTGACGTGTCCCGCTACAACCGGTACACCAACTTTGATTGTGATCGTTTCAACCCTAGCATACTCCTCCTTGCTTCTCCACCCCCTCCCCCTCACTCCACATTTCCCCTTCTTCTTTCGTCTACCTCACGTTCTAACTCCGCACAAACTCTACGTATACATTATTATTTCATAACAATCGCACCGTAGCTGGTATGATAACTATAGTGTGTATGGTCTATCACGCGATGGCCGTCACGCTTCGAAGGATAAGTCATTGCCTTAACGATAGATTAAAAAAATTTTTCGATATCCATCTCTTTGACGTAAAACTTTTGAATCGAACGATAAATGTTATGTTAAATATAAAAATATGTCTGAATGAAAAACGATCCTGATGACTCGAAGATTCGTCCATTTTAATTAATCTGTTTTTTTTTCCTTTTTTTTTATGTGAAAGAAACACAATAGGGTGGACGATAGATTCGTTCGTTTGTCCAGTGGTCCGTTTCTACTGTTTGATCATCTGCTAACGAGTTTAATTTCCATTTAACTCTTTACCTTACGTAGCCAAAAAAAAAGAAAAAAAATAGAAGAAAAAAGAAAACGAATCTACTCGACATAAAGCGACTATCTCTATGCATCCGTCTCTATCAATTTCTTGAGACAAGACATTGAAGTTATCGTTTAGAAAAGTTTTGAAAGTAAACACACTATACACATGTATTTACATTTGCATAAACATTGTATATCTTAAAATTCAAAAGAAATTCAAAAATAAAATCAATCGGTTACGTTTGTTTCTTGATTTTCACACGAACCTCGAATTTCTCATGTGAGGCTCGAAAACGTTAGGACTTAAACGTTCAAGCGTGTTTTCACGGAAAAATTTTTCCGGAAGGACCACCACGCGGATTATATATTGGCCACACCGAAATTCTCGACGAAGCGTGCGCCCATTTTTCACGCTTGTACTCCCTCTCTCTTTATCTCTCTCTTTCCCTCTCTCTCCCTTTCTCTCTCTCATTCCTTTCTTCCTTTCTCCTCTCTTTCTCTTTCCAAAAGCAATGTTCGGAAAAAAAGAAAAAAAAATCAAAGCGGTCCCTTTGAAATCCATCACTCTTTGCGGCAAACATCTAAGATACCTACATCGCGGTTAGTCGGTGTTGCAAAGACTAGGATTTTCGCGCTTTTGACCCTTCAAATAGGCCATGATCCACTCGAGACGATATTTTCTTTATTTTTCTACTCTTTCCCAAAAGAAAAGTTATTCCTCGTGCGCTTCTTTGATCTTTTGATCTGTCGATCGCTAACGTGAGACCGAACACGGTGAAATTTTCTGATACTTGGAAGAAAGAGAAAAAAAGAGAAAAATAAAGAAAAAAAAAGAAAGAAAAAAGAGGAAAAGAGGAAACATTTTTTTCTTTACGAATAATCGATTAAAAATCCTTCGAACGAATGGGACCGTCTGCCGGAAGTCCACTTAATCGTTGGTAAAATCTTCGAATAATAAAAAAAGAAAAGAAAAAAAAAATAGGAAACCGACCGACTGATCGATCGATCAGTATCACGGCGCTTATTGATCTAACTTTTTTATCAACTCATTGTAAAGTAAAGAAAAAAGAAAAAGGAAACAAAAAAGAAACAGAAGAAAAAATCATAAGCCATGAAACGCAACATCCTCTCGACGAATTTATTCGTACCGCAAAGAATCGGCTTAAGCAGGGAGAAAATAGGAAAATCAAACGACCTCGGTCTATTCCTGACGTCCATAACGAATCGATTTTAATGCATTACAAAAAGTTCGCTTTGGAGGGTGAGTAAGACACGTTTAGACTACCAGCTCCTGTAATTTCAAGCTATTTAACCGTTCTAAAGAGATTTATCAGCTCGGTCGGTGTTACTTTTAACAAGAAATCGTATACGATATTTTCTAATATATTTCATTATATTTCGTATATTTAATTTATATTTCATACATTTAATTGTTGTAATATTAATTATATCGTAAAAAAATCGTTAAAGAGATTTTTTCTCTTTTTTTATTTTTAAATAAATAAATAAAATCACACCTCTCAGCCACGATAATAATCAATGATGCTCTAATACCACTTCGAAGCTAGGGCTTCTGAAACCTGAGGTTACACCTAACAAGATCTAAGTCTAAAGATTTAAGACGTTATATCTGACTATTAAGTCAAAGGCCACTGAGTAAATCATGAAAAAATCAATCGCAATATTAATGATTAAGTACTCCTTACTTATGACTAATTGAAATTATTGGATAAAAATTATAGTATTAGAATTATCCTTCGTAATTATATTTGCGGATACGTTTAAACGGTTTAGAATCGAAGTGTCTCCTCGACACTTTCCAACCAATTGCACGAAAAACCCACTACAGGGTAGTTTTCGCATCCACCCGAAATATCGCATTCGGCACGTGCCAGCCACGTGACCGCCTTGATGGCTCTCACATGTGCGCGTTTATGCGCATTTGGCTGCATTTAAAAGGAGCAAGGTGTTCCACGAAAACAACTGTCCTTCTTTCGCTGTACTTAGAATGAAATAACGTTGTTCGAAAAGATAACAACAATAAAATAATAATCGGATCGTTCGATAGGAAGTCGCGTGCTAACTCGAGTAGCTTAGAGGACACTAAAAAAAGATAATACGAGTAAAGAAGATTATGATTTTTCTTTTTTTTTATATGAAAAGATATCAAGCATTTTTAAATGAAAATGGTTAACAAAGAATCCTAGGAAAAAAAAAGAATTAAAATTTGTTCCATGTCATTATCATAATTCAAATTAAACCTTGAAATTATTATAATTTAAATCTTACTTTAGAAATGATCGAACAATCTACTTTTTATGCTCGCATAATTTTTAACATTCCAGAATTATTCCCGCAAGTATCCATTTATCATTATTAATCATTTACAGGAGTTTAATTTATTTAAAGTAAAAATTAAAAGAATTATTACTAAATTATGACAGTGATCATGTGTTAATCGTTCGAGTAACTTAAAGTTTTTAAATGAAAATGATTAAAAAAAATCGTTTAAATATATATTAATAATCTTTAAAATTTATATCGTTAAAATTGTTTTTTATACTCGCGTGATTTATAATAACGATCTCAAAAGTTTTCCCACAATTACCACCCACTTCTATCACCGATCAATCTTACATGGGCTTGATCCTTAATCGTAGAGAGAAAAAAGTTAGAACACTGTGGGCATCGTGATGGTGGTCGCGTGCATGATCCATCGACGCACGTGATTCCTGATGTGCGATCGGAAGGGAAAACGCCTTTCGACGAGCCTACTGAGAAATTGATAGCTCAACCGAGTTCACACCACCGACACGTGCTCTACGACTTGGCTGTAAAAGTGCCCTCGTAATTGAGATATCATGATCGCTTTCACGCCAACGACAGATTCTTAAACTAATTCCGTGACGAAGACACGTGCCAACGGAATGTAAGTACACGTGCTTCTATTACAAATCCTCTTTTAACCACGAGATTTATTCAAAATTATCTTTTGTATAACTTTTATTTTTTTCTATCTTACATTAAATCTTTTTATGAATTATTATAACAAAATCGTTATCTTCTATACTAATAGATATAGATGGGATAGATTTAAAATGTAAAAAAAAAAAAAAGAAAAAAGAAAGATATTCGTTCAACCGTTTAACGATTAAACTTCAAAAATTTTTCAAGTACTTCAAATAATAAAACAAAATTGATTAAAGTCCAGAAAAACTTATTTGGACGTATATTATATAAATAGACAAGCTATTTAATCTTGATCAATCATTACTCAATCGTTTCGAAAAGAAGCAAAAAACGAAAGCGACGCTCTGCGGCTAAACGGCAAACATTACATGTCGTCCCGATGTGCGATATCAACCACAACACGTGCCGTTCTCCGACGCTTGTCACCGAACGCCCACGCGTGCTAATATTTGCGTGATAAATTCTCTCCTCTTCTTCGATGTATTTTCTACGGAGTGTAAACTCATCGATAATCGGAGAACCCGATACAAGAACCCGATCAACTAAAAAACAGGTTGTTTGTATTTCCCACTGAAAATCATGAATTATCGGAAAATTTTCTCACGTTAAAACTGTAAATATATCTTTCATAAACTATACATGTATGTATATATATACATACATTTCATCAACTATATATTCTATATATGTATGTATATATATATATATATATATATATATATATATATCTACATGTATATATATATATATATATATATATATATATATATACATATATATATAGAATATATAGTTATATATATATACATGTAGATATACTATATTAATTAATAAGCTATAATATATAACTATACATATATTATAAAACCATATATATATAATATATATTCATTATCATGTTTCAATACATATATTATATTATTATATTATATATATTATAGTATAGATATACTATATTAGTTAATAAACTATAATATATAACTATATATATTGTATTGTAAAACTATATATATATATATATTATTATTATTATTATTATTATTATTATTATTAATATTAATATAAAATCCTTAATATGCCTGTTCATAATTTTTCAAAAACTTATTATTTTCATCCAATCCAGATGGAGTTTTGTATTATTACTCTTCATGATCCGACGAAAAGCTTAGGCTACTTGATTTGTGTAAATATTACTCATAAACTGAACTACAAGACTTTAAACGAATGGGAGAGAAAAAAAAGATCGATATATGACGGACATGAAGTACTATGCAAAAGAAAGAAAGGAGAAAATTGTAAAGTTGATTACACCAGAAATGCATTGATTGAGTGATTTGTGATTGTGTTCCGTGTTCCTTGTTCTATGTTCCCTATCCTGTGTTTCATGCTCTGTGTTCCCTGTTTTGTGTTCTATGTTCATACAAATGGCGCGATGGATGCATGCTTTATATAAATCAAGCAGTCTATATTCAAACTCCGATCGCGGAAAATAATTTTATTTCATAAATTTCAGCGGTTCTCAATTTTCTGATGCATGGATGATATTTAAGCACTTTTCCAAATAATCGATCATATAGCATAAACAAATTCTATAGCGGTAAAACATTTACTTTACACATTAAATTCATGTACGAGCTGAAGCAATGTGAATGCGAATACTTGCTATATATATTATACTATATTACTTCTCAAGCTAAATATTATATTTCATATGTTCGAATGCTTGACGAAGGAATATACTAGTATATTCTAATATATGAAATATATATACTGATACAATATATCATTTAATTTATTTAATATATTCGAATGACTGTTAATTATTAAAATTTTCAAGCAATTCGCAATCAATTAATTAATTTTCTATAACCCAATTTTAATTTATATCTATAAAAAAATTATATAATATGAGAGTTATATTACTAATATAATTATATTACAAGTATAATTAAATTATAAATAATTTTTAAATATATATATACAAGTTATACTTATAAGTTATAATTCTATTAGTTTTATACTTATGAATTATAAATATATTAGTTATACTTGTATTTATATATTAAATTATATCAAATCAATAAGAACTTCGAATATAAAGTAAGAAATCCAGCTTATGGCGATAAAATGAAATAAAACTTAAAAAGTATGAATATATGTAAAAGTATGTAACTTTTCAAGTAAAGTTACATGGCATTATAAACGGTCAAATGTTTTCTTCTGAATGAGACAAACAATTATCTCGAGTCATATGTCATCATTACAGAATATGAATAAAAATGAAAAGCATCTATAAAAAAAAAAAATAAAAAAAAATGGCAACTGCACGTTGAAGTATTGCGTGTGTGTACCGAGAGGGTTCTATTTAAACGAAATGTTAAGTACAGCCGGAGGATATTGATTCAGGTACTGCTTGTCGGTAAATGTTTGCATCACGTGAATTGCCTGTAGCGATTTGCACTAGCTTTCAATTAAAACACGTCTATCTCTGAAATAAAATTACCGAAGAGTTGCACCTTTTATTTTATATACCCAGTTACATACTTAATACGTTAATGATAAACAGTAATTTGAGAAAAGTTTAATTTTAATCATTCCCATAAATGTTTTAACTTTTCTATAAAAATGATTTACGCGTTATCTAGAAAAATAGATTTTTAAAAGTTAATCCATTAGAAATTAGAGTTCTGCAAAAACTCATATATAACAACAAAGACGATCAGATAATCGAACCTCAAAAAGGATACTAGAATAAAGTTTTTGCAATGAATGCAAATGACTCGCCATTACTATGTAAGCCTTTTCAGTTTATTCCAAAAGAAAAGTCCGATCGTTTCGAACCCCCTATAAAAGGGTGCTCGCTTTGCCCCCATGCGGATGATCATACGCACCCGCACTTAAATCTGATCCAGATAACGAATCTCCTCTTGCAACGTACCGCGTACAACGAGCTAGTATACGTATTCTTCTTTCGAGACGAGTTTTTGATCGAGAACAAGACAATTCGATTGACCCGTCCAACTTCAAAGGGGAAATTCGATCAACTGCATCGATCGGCGGTCCACTCTGCAAAATTAATTTATTTTTTATTATCGAAAAATATATACGTATATAATATTATTTCTTATGAATAGTTTCACAATAAATATTTATGAATATATATTGTAAATATATATTTTATGAGTATTTATTCTAAATATATATTTTATAAATATATATATATATATATATATATTATATATATTATATATATTATATATATTATATATATTATATATATATAGTATATATATTAATTATATATATTATATATATATAATATATATTTTATAAGTATTTATTCTAAATATATATTTTATAAATATATATATATATATATATATATATATATATATACACATATATATATATAATAGAAAATTGTAAACATTATTATAAAATTTTCTGCAAATAAACAGAAAAATAAATACAGAAAATTTGATTTAATTTTCTTTTTTTTACTTTTTTCTATTTCTGCTTTCCTATACTTTCAAATATATTCATACATTGTACATAAACATAAATTATTCCTTAGAAATGCAATGAAAAAAAGATTATTTATATTAATATACAATTTCTGCAAATGAAAAAGCAAAATTACAAAGATAAATTCTATCTCTTCTTTTCAATTTTTCTTATTTTTTATACTTTCAAAAATATTTATATACTGTACAAAAACATATATTATTTTGTATAGATACAATAGAAAAGAAATTTTTAAAAATTACAGAAATTATTATACAAGTTCCTGCAAATCCAAAAGATACATTAATACATACTTTTTCTATTTTTCTATTTTATTTATTTTATTATATTTCCTATTTAGTATTTTTCCCAATACTTTCAAAAATATTCCATACACCATAAAGAAACATAAAGCAGTATCCTTTCGCTAGTAATAGTAACGATATCTGTTCTTCTTTTTGATGATGATCTAACCGAGGGCAAACAAACGATAGAGAATCCGACGAGCAGAAAAAAGAAAGGGGAGAAAGAAGAAACAAAGGCGACATATTAGAATCTATTGTAAATCACATCGAGGTCGGATAATCAGATACCTTTCGAGGCCGCCAGGTGAGCCAGCTCGAGCGTATAACGCCTTTTGACGTTAACGCCAGTACTCTTATGTGTGCGCGCACCATAAACGCACTCGACAACAATGCTTAGATCTTAATCTTCCGCCTTGCTTCCCTGTTACCCAGAGACCATTACCATTATGTTTGCACTCCGATCTACCGACTAGGTACTACCCCTTATCGCGAAAAATATCGAGAAACTTTCGCAAGATCTTTAAAATTTATTACTAATATACATTTTATATATATTCTTATTGTTATTAATACTAATACAATATATTATCTTAAATATATATATATATATATATATATATATTATATAGACGTTATATATAAGTATATACAAATATAAATATATAAAGTAACTAAAAGAAATAATTTATTTATTTTCTTTTTTATAAATCTTATAAAGAACGATGAGTCAGTACTCGTAAAATAAAAATCGCCTTTGCGGGTAATCGCAAGGAATAGTGGTACGATCGGTCGGCCCAATTCAATGCTCCCAAATCTTATTTCAGCATGCAGCCAAATTGCAACGAGGGAGACCTCTTTGTTCGTCGGTCCTGAAACTTCGTCTTCTCTTCGCGTCCCAAGGGAATTTTAGGGCATTACGTAGCCCTCTCACAGGAACGATCGTTATCTCTTTAGCAACCTGGGATCTAAGAATCTATCCTCTCTACTTATCCTTTCACGTTCCCTTCCTGTAGAAAATAAATGAAAGAAATGTTCGACAATTCGGTGATTTCACATTCTATCATTTTCGAGCCTCCATCATATTTTCTCTTATTTCCTATAAAACACAACCTATTTAAAAGATGTTAAAAATTTTACTAATACTTATTCGAATTCTAAAAAAAAAGAACTCGTGCGGAGTGTTCGAAGAATACTATTGAGTCTACTACAATTATCGCAGATGTCTATCGGACTATGCTTTAGCCTAACCTCTCGAATATCAAGCCAACCGGCTATGTCCGCTACTTGAGCACAAGTAAAACAGTTGCCATACGCAGTAAAATAATATCGAAGAAGTAAAAAGAGAATATACACAAGCGTCATTGCTTCCCTATGGATGTTCCGCTTAACAATTACAGGGAGAGAATTGGTCTTACCGTTGAATAAATTCATCGAACGAAAGGCAAAAATAAATTCGATTTCATTTCGCCTTCAAGTTCAAAACGTCTGAAAATTTTTAATTAATACCGTAATACAAGTTCTCTCGATATTCTCTGAAAACAATAACGCTTTTTCAATTCGAATCGATCAACAAAAAACTTGCTCGAAATCCCAAGAGAGAGATATTCCCCAGCTGGATGCTGAGTCCTGATAAAAATCGTAACGTTTTAACCGAAAACAAGGCAGAAAGAGAGAGAAAAAGAGAGAGAGAGAGAAAAAGAGAGAGAGAGAGAAAAAGAGAAAGAGAGAGAGAGAGAAAAAGAGAAAGAGAGAGAGAGAGAGAGAGAGAGAGAGAAAGAGAGAAAACACATCGAAACCCATCCCCTTCGTTTCACAAGCAGCAATGACAGTAACGGCAAGCACCCTTCGCTGTGACGATCGAGCCGCGTGGATGCTTTTTTCTATTTCTACCCCAACATAAGTAACTAGGGTACCTGTAGCCCTAACTCGCGTTGTCCCCTTCATCTATCTTTTCCTCCCTTCCTCCGCCTTCTCCTCCTTCTCCTCCCTTCTTTTCTCGTTCCTTTCACGAAAACGTCCTCACGGATGAACGCGTCAGAAGAATAAAAATCGCTCGCATGTAAGAATCGCAAGTGTGTCAATCCTGTTCTATCCTAAGAATATGAACTCCCATCTACAGTCGACCCATGCTAATTACATTTAAATTCATTTCGCTGAAGAAAAAGAAATAAATAGGGGACTAACAAGTTGATGTGAAAGATTTCATCCGACGAATCATAATCCCGCGATAGATGAATATTTTAATAATTAAAAACGATTAAAAGAACTGGTCGAGAAATGAAAAGTTTTCATGGGCATAGTTTTTTCTGTTTCGCGCATGGAAAGATACAAAGAAAAAAAAAGGGAAAGGAAAAAAAATGGAAAAAAAAGAAAAGAAAGGTTAGGAGTGTAAAAATTCTCGTCCCCGTTTATTGACAAAACATTTCGAGCAAATCCGGCTTGTCCACGAGGCGCGAAAAAAAAATCCTACCACTTTTGAGAACGATCCTTACGGCAGCTGGATCTAACAGACTGTAAATAATAGGTTAGCGGAGAGTCAGATTTCTGGAAGACTGGTTTAAGTTATGCAAACCGAATGGAATATCGATCAGGTGTTTACCTCGATGCTTTTAAAATCGAATCTTGATATGTAACGAGTGTTTAAACTAATCGACATTGTTGAATCGTCATTCTTGATTGAATTAATCTAAATTAAAAATAATTAAACGTAATGACATTTTGAAATTTTGATGACATGACATAGACACGATATGACGTGGAAAAAAATGAATTGACCAACCGTCATCGAGTATCGCCCCATTATCTATGGACTGTCACGGTTTTAGAGGATTACACGTCGATTACGAGGCTCAATTTTAAATCTCTCCGCCACTCAGCCGTTCTCCATAACTTTCTCTCAATCCCGTGGCAACCCTTTTGTGGCTTACTCGATGGTTTTACAATCAGTCACCCGTGCTGTGACATGGTCGATGGGTCGTCGAAGGGTTGCCTCGTTTCGTTAAAGCGGATTACGTTTTGCCTTTTTTTTAATTTTTTTCTTCTTACACTTTTCACCAAGTCGATATCGAATCGACGTATGGGATCAAAGTCTTTTGATCGATGATCTTCGAAAGAATATCGAAGAACATCTCTCTCCTTTCGTTGATTACGAATGTACGAAAAAAGAAAAAAGAGAACAGAAAAGAAAACGTGATCTATGTTCTCCAAAGATTCCTCGTAAACCTTGTGGAAATTGATAGAAGTTGGTTTCATCGTTTATATTTTTTTCTCAACCCTTCTTCATACTTTTCCTCGTCATTGTTTGCGAAAGCAGACCCTTGCGACGTTCAAGGGGGCGTGGCGATTTAAAAAAGGGGTTCCCGAATGGCTTTCGAAAAACGAAATGACCGCAAGGCCGTCACGCTTGTCTCTGTACCTATAAAATAGTTCCGCCTCTCTCTCTCTTTTTTTTTACCAATTGTTACATCACCTATAGTCCAGATATCCTACAAACGTAATTTAACAAACAAATTTAGCCTCGATTTTATTCCGATCAACGATAAATATTCGTATCAGCGAATTTCTTCGTTCTAAAATCTTTTAAAATGTTTAAATTTTGTCAAAAAAATATCTCCGATACCTCGAAGACGTGAAATAAAATTTGTCGGAAGTATCAGGAAGCACTCGATGCCTACTCGGCACTTGGAAACATCAGAGATCCCTCCAACGTACATTGCAAAGGTGCCCCCAGCTTTTTTCTACTATGAATGATGATGTATGGATGTTGGCTGGGCGCTAGGGGCTGAGTAAAGGGTTCCATTGTTGTGAACACCCCCCTGGAGAATGAACCCTCTCGCCCCGCGGGGTGAAACCTTCATGAAATATTACTGCCAAGCAACAAACTGCGTTCTGCAGCCTGTATATATTGTTAATTTTATGCCCGATTTTTTGTCCACTCCATTTTATCCCCCTCCCCCTCCCATTGCTACACAGACGTCGAAAGTGTTACATCCGAACCGTTACCGTATTTCTATCCCCTTTTTTTAACAACAAACATCGCGACTGTTTTATCCTGAAGAACAAGTTGGTCGTTACTTCTCTTTTTTGGTGTTCGTTACTTTTAACCTGTAAAAATCACAAAGTTACCATTTTTTATCACAACTTAATGAATTGTCTCGTGTGTAATGTCGTAATAGTATCATAAAAAATAAGAAGATGAATTATGTTCGTGACAGCTTTTTGAAACTTAATCTACTAAATATTCTAACTTTGGTAAATGTAAAATTTTTTTGTATTAATTACTAAAATCGCAGTAAAACGGATTACTTGTATTAATGCAATAAAACCGTAACCAGATCCACATTAGGGCGAAGAATATTCATATCCATAAGTGAGAGAGAAAGAAAGAAAGAGAGAGAGAGAAAAAGAGAACAAGAGAGAAAAGGAGAAATTGTGTAGCAACCCTTAGATGCTAGAGAACAATGAAGGACCGCAATTAACTAGGGGCTCTGTAATCGGAGTCCCGATATTCGATCCAGAATATAATATGCAAATTTGATCGGACACGGTTTTAGAAATTCGCTATGGCCCTTCTACTCTATCAACAATGCGTGACTCGTGCCGACAATAGGAAATAATAAACCGTGATAAATAGCCAAGCAAATACACAGGACAATCCAAAAATGTCCGCTGCTATCATTCCTCTCTCTTTCTCTTTTCTCTCTCTCTCTCTCTCTCTCTCCTTCTCTATACTTCATCTTTTGGCACATCCAGGTGCAGGAATCGAATACCCAAATAAATACGAAGTGCAAATAACATGAACCCTCTAGTTCAATCGATAGGTTTTTTTGACGAACAAATATCAGCATTAATTTTAACGCTTGCCTATGCATATTAACAGCTGAATTCTGTTAAAGCAAGTCAACATTATCTTCTAATTCTGAAAATCACGTATAATGAAAAAAAAAACAAAATACGATTTGTGATCACAGACAAACACGCGCGCGCACATATCTGTACATACCTATACACATATATAGCGTCGTATATACCGAGAAAGTTGATTTTGAAGAGCCAACCCTGATCAGAATGTGGTCCGCGGAGACAGATTGAGGGGCGTGCTGAAATAAATCAGCCTTTTGTTTTACAGCCCTAAAACGGCCGTTGGAGATTTGGAGCGCGAAGTGACGTCCATTCATAAGAACACCCCAGCTGCAAGAACGAAAAGGCCTCATAGCTACTTCAAAAACTCTAGAATAGTCCTTCTCTCGAATGTACAACACGATTAGAAAATTTGATCTCCTTGGAAAAGTTTAATTACTTTTACTAGGAGATCAAATTTTCTAGCAAGAATAAAAAAGAATTCTTTTTTTTCATATATATATACATATGTAAAATCGTGAAATTAATCGAAAGGACCAAAATATTCGAAAATAAAAAAAATCTCGAAGAATTTAATAGTTATAAAAATAAAATGAATAATATATATATATATATATATGTGTATATATATACATATCCATTTAAGCATAAAAACAAAGATAAATATTTACTTAAATAATTTACGACTAATTATCCTTCCTTACGTTTTAATTCTTTCTACTGATCTCATTGTCAGCCATTTTTAACATAATTTGGAACGCAAACGTCGCACGAAATAATTAACAGCTTATGCGTTGCTTAATATCCACAAAAATAATCTCTTAAAATAATCGTGTATAAAAAACCATTCCTAATAACAAATATTTAAATACGTACACGATTGAATTTCATTGTGGACAACAATCTGGCATCCTCGAAATCCTTCTCTAGATGCTCAATCACGTTGACGGTTCGTTGATGAAGTAAAGGGGTTAAGCGTTATGCGTCCTACTGGAAGTGATTCGAATTAATGTCCACGAAATCATGGGCTTCGATCTCGATCCCTAAGGAGTTGTTCGATGAAAGGGAAGAATTTAGCGCATCACAGAATGTCCTTCAGGATTTGACGATCATCCTCTCCCTTTTTCTTAGAGAAACTGAGACTTCCGTTAGGATACGATGACTAATCTAACAAATGACTTTATTTCGAATAGATCCCTTATAAAATATTTTCCTCGTTATTTGGGGTATAGTAATCCTCTTTTATCCTCTTCAATCTTATTTCTTATCAAATCGACAAAACCTTAAATTAGTCAAATAATAACTACTTCAATATCGAATAAAAATAGAAATAATCTTTTCGCTAGGATCAATATTTCTTTGTATTTGTGAAAATGTCGGGAAAAATAAAAGCACGTGGAAAAAGTCGAATGAAATGATGCTTGACGATGCGCCAATAGTACACAAACATATTGAAGAAAAACAGCTCATATTATATAAGATGTCAGATCGATAACTAATCATCTAACAATAATATTATTTCAAATAGATCCCTTATAAAATATGTTCCACACTATTTGCGGGTTGTGTTCTTTTTTCATCTTCTACAATCTTATTTCTTATCAAATTGATAGAATCTGAAATCAGTCAAATAATAACTACTTTAATATCAAATAAAAATAGAAATGATCTTTTCGCTAGGATCGATATTGCTTCGTATCTGTGAAAATGTCGAGAAAAATATAAGCACGTGGAGAAAGTCGAGTGAAAGAGGTGTATAGCGGTGCGCAAATCATATATACACACACGTTGAAGAAGGACAGCCGATAATATATAATTATTGCGCGGGCGCGGGTCAATAGTCGGCCACGTTGCCTGGCGACGCTCTCACTTCGTATTCTCTCGAACTCTGGAACACGGTCGGCACATCAACTTGTCTTCCTTCTTTGACCGTACTCGCGCTCGGTACGCACGCGAAAAGAAAAAGCAAAGAAGAAGAGGCAAAGTCTACACCGGCCTTCCCAACAAATCCCAGCAAAGTCTTTCCTTTTCGTAAAAACATCTCTCGAAGTGTGGATTTCGAGATCGATCAACTTTCATCTCACCTGAGTGATCACGATAAAGATCAGCCTCTTCACACTGGCTTCTCTTTGAGAAGATCTCGAGTACGTGTTAATGGACATTCTACCTGAGTATTGAATATGTAAGTACCTACTAAACTCCTTTCCCTATAAGTTTACTTTACTTTTGAAAGAGAGGATTCGATTTTAATCTCGAACACGTATTCTTGTTTACTCCGTCGCGTTCCAATAATTTACATGTATCTAATCGCGTTGCTATTAATTCCTCTTCGACTCACGGTGCGATACGTTCCATCGAGAATCACTAAATTCTACTGATGTTTTTTGAACTTGACATGAAAGCCAAAGGTGATCATTTTGTACTCGTGAGATTTTTTTAATTTACATTTCACTTTTTTATTATCTAGATAACTTTTTTCTTTTTTTTTTTATATATAGCAAAAATTTTTATCTAGATAACTTTTTTCTTTTCTTTTTTTTATATATAGCAAAAATTTTTCATTATCTTAAAGTTTCCAAAAACATCGGTATGGAACCGATTAATTCAGAATCTGTAATTTCCGATCGAACGATCGACAAAGAAAATGTGAAAACGTTGAAAACGAAAAAATTTGAAATAAGATCGAAACGTTCATCATACGAAAAATTCGAAGACGCTTGCGGCTTTAAATTCGTCGAATTATCGAGTTTCGAAAATTTTGTGCGACTTCTCTATCGACCGACGGATCCAGCAAATTTGGGTATAACGAGAGCACTTTTTGGTGAGTGAGATATACTTATGTATGTACCTGGAAAAAAAAAGAAAACCAGTGAACATATTTTTTCACAAAATCACATCATATTCAATAGGTTTGTGTATGATAGTGGACGTTGTCGAAGAAAGAGGATTGGCGGATATCGATATAAAATGGGGAGATTCATGGGATTGTCATTTCCCACTGATTCACGGAATGAAACCACTTTCATTACCTTGGATGATAGTACTTTACGGAGCAATGTGGTTAGGTGCTTTTGGTATCATGCTTGGTGTCAGATTTAAATTTGCTTGCGCTTGCTTCGTCGTTCCTTACTGGTATATATTTCTATTGGATAAAAGTTATTGGAACAATCATACTTATCTTTATGGTATCGTAGCGACTCTTTTTTGGTGTACCGAAGCAAACAAGTACTTGTGAGTACTTGATACGATTAACGTTATCTCATTTTATGATTAAATAATACTTCTGTTATTAAAGGAGTCTTTCTTCATTGTCACATAGTGCGTTCGATGCCAGTGATGCTAAAAAAATAAAGGAAACCGTGCCACTGTGGAATTATTTTATTTTGAGATTTCAATTTTTCGTTCTATACTTTTTGGCCGGTTTAAAGAAATCCGGTAAAGAATGGCTCGAAGGATATTCCATGTTGAATCTCTCGAGACACTGGATTTTCGATCCGTTCAAGTATGTCCCAACTTTTACATAAACCCTTATAATTTTCCCTCAGAAAAAGGCATCTTGTTTTTATAGAATTTTCTTGACTACCGAAGAAACAGATTTCTTTATAGTCCATTGGTTCGGTTTCATTTTTGATTTAACTGTTGGATTTTGGATGTTGTTCGATAAAACTCGATTACCAGCTATGATATTCTGCACGGCCTTCCACTTGATGAACTCAAGACTGTTCAGTATAGGTAACGTGAATCTCTTTTGTAATTATTTTTTTTTTTTTTATTAATTCTTTCATAATATTTATCTTCTTGTTTTTTTTCTTTATTTTTTTCAGGTATGTTCCCATACGTTTGCTTAGCGACAATGCCTCTTTTTTGTAATGTCGATTGGCCGCGAACTTTTAACTCTTGGATCGCGTGTAAACAAAATATCTTATTTTCCAAATGTGTAAATGTGATAAAAAATTGTTTCCAAAGTCCAGTTAATAAACTGATAAATGAACAAACGAAAGAGGTTACTGATCTAAATGAATTCGATTCGCAAAAAGCTAATATGGACGTAAACGAACGCTATGAGTCGTCTGAAAATGTAAAACCTACCGATAACTCAACGATGAAAAATGTTAATTCAAAAAAAGTGACGAAAAAACAACAATTTGTCGTATCTATGTTATTACTTCATATTGTCTTACAATTCTTTTTACCCTACTCGCATTTTATCACGAAGGTAAATTACAATAATCATGTCAGAAAAAAAACCATAAAAACTATGAAAATTTACAAATTCGTAGCAAAGTGAAAATAAATAAATAAATAAATAAATTATTATTCCAGGGTTACAACAATTGGGTTCCAGGTTTGTATGGCTATTCCTGGGACATGATGGTCCACACTTGGGATACAATATTAGTTGTGATACGAGTTCACGATAATGAGAGCAACGAAGATCGTTTTCTCGATCCCGATACATGGGTACAAAGTGATCGATGGGTGAAACATGGAGACATGGCGAGACAATATGCTTTTTGTATAAAGGTTTTGCTTTTATCTCGATAGTCTAGTCATATCTTTTATTGTCTCATTAAATTTCGCGGAATTATAAACATCTTCTATCAATTTTACTGTTATTTCTTATCTGATTTTTTATACATATTGTGTCATGAAATCAATTACTGCGATGTTATAAACTTGTCACATTTTTTTTCTTTTTTTATATTTTTAATAATTCATATATATTCACATTTGCAGAATAATATTCTACGACAGAAAGAGGAAGCTCTGAATAACAATCCTAAACATGAAGAAAGAGAAAAATGGACTAAACTCTCCTCGAATTTAAGCGTTTACATGGATGTATGGTGTTCCTTGAACGGAAGATTTCAACAAAGAATTTTCGATCCAAACGTTGACATGTTAACGGTCGATTGGCATCCTTTTAAACATGTTTCCTTTGTAATGCCACTTCTAACACAATACAACTCTTATCGGTAATATAAAAATTTAATATACATAATTCTCATTCATGTTCTATTAATAATTATTACTATAACAATTTACTTCGCTTTGTTATCTCTTTAGATATAAAATGAATGATATTCAAAGAGATGTATACAGTTGGTCAAACTACACCGATGTTCTATTCGTAGCCGATTTTCCAAGTATGTCATTGGAAAATTACATTAACAGTGATTTCACGAATGTATCGTTGACGGTCCTCGAAGGTGAAGTAGCATATAACGAAGAAAATCAAATGGAAAGTGTCACTTTAAAGAAAGGATTATCAATCGACGTAAAAACCGAAAAATTTCACAGAATTAAAACGATTACTCCTTATCCAGCCTGTTACATGTATACTTATACCAATCAAACGAAACAAAAATTGGATATCGATAGGTTTGTTATCAGAGTGCGATTGATTATATTAAGAACAGGTAATTAATTATTATTGTTTTTTACCTTTTCAGACAAGTTGAAGACACTAATACGAAGGAACCATTCTCCCTCGTACAGGAATTAAATTACAAGATTGATTCTTGGGCGAGGGCATTTAGTCATTTAGCAAATGCCTTCTTCAATCTTGTTTACGACGTTCCTATGATACGAAGAGTACGGGTTAAGAGACAAGCCTAAGAAAACAAACATAGAACAAAGTGATCTCAGATTAAACCAAATTATATAGATATAATGTTAATTCATAAATAATTTTATTTTAAGTAAAGAACTCATTATTATCATTCAAAAATTTTAGAGACCTATTTTTGTACATTCACAAATACAAGAATGTTTATAAAATTTCTTATTGATTAATCGATACAGATTTAATTAATTTATAATTTCCGAAATATTTAAAACATCAGATATTATTGTTAAAAATATTTTAATAATAGAAAAATTGCATAATAATGTTACTACTTATTTAAATCTGTGATTTTTCTATTCTTTATTACCGATAGACAAAATTAGCGAAAACTGTATTACCGATATTGTCGGTATATTATCTTCCATTGTTATTTTTTGTTATAAAGATGAAGTATTTTTCATAAGATTATTATAAAAAATTATTTAAGAAATTAAAATTAATATTAAAATAAAAGATAATGCATTGCCTTCTGCTTATATATATATCTTTATATATCTTTATAGATATATATATCTTTTGAACAGTTTTCATTGAATTCTAATATGATATTATAAGAAATGTGGCTATTCATTATAACTATTGACATTAAAAATATATCATACTATAAATCATTATATGTAAATATATTATATCTTCATATCCATGATAACCATTATAATAGTTTACTTTCAAACGCATTCAATTGGCTTAAATTTTCTTAATTTATCGGAAGAGGTATTTTATCTGAAGTCACTTATCTTAAATGCTATAAAATGTTATCAGATCGCCGATTGACTACAAACTGAAGGTTTGTCATGCACTTTCAACGAGACCTTTAGTCTTATTGCTTCTTCTTCGTGACATTAGTGTTCGAATAACCTACGATCGGAAGATTTCTGTAAGTAAAAAAGAAAGAGAGAAGGAGAAAAAAAAAGAAAGAAAAACAATTTTAAAAATATTAAAAGTCGTAAGCCATGCGTGAATAAAATAAAATGTGTTACGACCACAAATAAAGATAAAAACGTGACAATTTATAGTGTACAACATGCATCGTCTCAAAATACAACGAGAACAACGTCGTCTCTCGTTTTGTTCTTTTTCTATTTCTATTTCCGTTCATTCCAGCTTCATCTAATCTGGGTCGACGCGTTAACAACGACCGATCAAAGTATGTACATTAAATGAATTTATATGAGAAACAAAGCTCATTAAATAAAAGAACATAAGGTTTATGAAAAGAACATAATTAACATTACAATTTCTTTTTTAAATGCATATGTAACATAAATAAATCTTTTCGTACGAAAATCTTGTGAAAGTTTCGATTCTGCGAGAGAACATGAAGAAGATCTGGGTCATGTGAATCCCATGTTTGGCAGAGAAAAAAAAAGTGCATTTGAAAAGAACTATTATAATTCCATTAATTATAACACTAAATAAAAATTACTTTTTGTATTAACGTGCATCCGTGTTCTGAAGTGCGAAAAAAGATTTTTTTATTTTGATATTATCATTACATCTGTTATTTGATGTGTACAGATCTTTTTTTATAATGGTAATTGTTTATGTTAATACTTCATTTTACTTTTAGATAATACTTACTTCCAACGTTTATATTTAGTCGATAATTCAAAATAACCATGAACTTTTACGTACTTCCCGTATAAAAGTATTAACTTGTTGAATGTGACACTCACTTCAGTAATGATCATACAAAATGAACTCTATTATCATACGCGTGTTTAACCAATCAGTTACTATACTCAATATTTATTCGTTATCAATATCGAACGATATTCTATAAACGGTAAGAAGTTTTCTTTTATCAAACTTTGAGATTTTTACTAAATAAACATTAAAATGAATCGAAAAGATACCACGATGTCTTAATCTCAATTGGTCATTCTATGATATACTATTTAAGGAAAAAACGTACGAATAATTTACTGAACAGAAACATTCAATTAATCGCCGAATTATCAATTTTTGTATAATGATACCGTAATCTTTTAGAAGAATTCAAACGCAAAAATATTACAATTGTTCAACAAATATTTCAATAATTTCGCATTGTTCACAGATAAAATATGACAAAATTAGATTCATACCAAGTCGAACAAAAAGAGCCGCTTCTAAATGCACTCGAGAAGCTCGGCGAAGGTTCCAATTTTCTCTACTTGATTTTCATTTTAACAACGATACCAACGTTGTTCAATGGAATGCATTCTATGGCATATATCTTCATAGCCGAAGTAAGTATCTTGCGTAATTGATATCTGTTAAAATTAATTCAATTTTAATAAAATTGATTATTATTTCAGATTCCTAATCACTGGTGCTCCATACCAATTCTTACTTCATCGAATTGGACTGATGAACAAATAAGAAATATTTCATCGGCCAGTTCTTGCACCCAATACGATTATGACTATGAATATTTTGCAAGAATAGGTTTTGAAGAAGCTCTCAAATATAAGAACAAAAATCAAACATTAAAGACAACTGAATGCAACGTTCGAAGTTTTGCACACAACATACAAGGTACTTCTTTCGTGGAAGATGTAAGTTCCAATGTTTTCTAGATCATTAACACAATATGAACAATAATAATAATTTGAGTTTTGCTTACTCGTGTAAAATTTAATTAATTGAAAGTAGTAAAAGGAAAAAGAAAAAAAAACATCCCACAAATACACTTTATAAATCACGATCCCATAAATCGATGATCCTAGTGGGATCTCGTGTGCGACAGAATGGCTGATAGATCCAACACCCAGATGATGTTCTCTCTTGGAAAACTCTTAGGAAGCGCATCGTTCGGTATTATTTCCGACAAATTTGGTCGCAGATTCTCTTACATCATCGGTATAATTATGCTGATTATATCTGGCCCGATCAGTGCGATCGTACCTTGGTTCTGGTGCTTCATGATCCTTAGATTAATAAATGGGATGAGCCACGCCGCCATTTTGTATCCTTCCTTTACTTTTCGTAAGTTTTTTATTTTTATTTATCAACGACGAAATGGAAGAATAACGAATAACGTAAATATCACGTTTATCCTGTATTGCTAATTAATTAATATATTAATTAATATTATCGAACAAGTATAAGAATATTTCCTGTATAAATACGTCCAACTTATGAGAAAATTTGTTATGTGTTAATCTTTATTGTTGAGTCTTTAAATACAATTACGTTTAATAATGTAACTATTTACAACTAACTCACCTTGATTTATGAATACGTTGTATTGCTCTGTACTCTTCGTTATTCTCCGTTCGGCATAATACATATCAATCTATAAAATATAAAATCTCAATAATTTCATTATATACAGTAACCGAAATAGCCGGTGAAAAGCATAGACAATGGATGGGTGTAGCATATAACGCTGGATATCCTGTAGGAACAGCAATTATGGCTAGTATAGCATACGGATTATATGATTGGCGATACAAACAATTGGCATCGACATTGCCAGCTTTAATTATGCTTCTTTTTATATGGTAATGATACATAATGTGATTGATATAACTTCAAAGATATATCCTTTATATTTTGATACTTTTTTGTAAATTTTGATCGTCAGGCTAATGCCAGAATCACCGCGCTGGCTTTTATCACAAAATCGTTTAAAAGAAGCCCAGAAAGTGATCGAGAAATATCACGGACCTGTTTATAAAACAAGCACTAACTCTACAACGACTGCGCATAAGCCTATATTGCAAATTCAATTGGAAGAAACGGAAGTGTCAAATTCCTCGACTCAAGGGCATAAATTAAAGAACAGTATAAAAGGGCTGGTTATTATTCTCTTTAACTATGAATTGTTAAAAAGAGTAATGATCACAAATTTCGCATGGCTTACAGCCTCGCTCACTTATTATGCCTTAGGTAATATTAATCATCGACAATCCTTACCTGTACAAAACATTATTCCAATTTTTGATTTGTTGAATATGTTATTATGTTTTCTTTTTTAGCATTAAATGTAGACAATTTCTCAGCTGATCGTTACCTTTACATTTTTGTGATGGGTATCACCGAAATACCAGCTTACTTGATACCAACGCCCATTCTAATTTATTTGGGACGAAGACAAGCTTGTGCTATAATGTACAGTTTAACGGCATTGCTTTTATTCAGTATTCTTATAATACCAGCTACGAAAACTCTAACTATAATAATCGTCGCTCTAACAGGAAGATTTGTATTATCTGCCGTCTACAGCATTATGATACTATATACTTCAGAGTTGTTTCCTACGGTAAAAAGAAAAAAAAACTAAAAAAAGAAATGAATTTCCAAGCATAGCAAAGCAAAGAATATCCTTATTAGTAATAATTTCTTTCATACAGATTACAAGAAATTCTGCGGTTGGTAGCAGCTCAGCAATGTCTCATGTAGGTAGCATATCATCTCCCTACGTCGCTGATTTATTAGGTGTCATTGCTTGGTGGGCACCTAGTACTTTATGTGCTTTTTGCGCTCTCCTATCCGGTCTACTCTCTATGATGCTACCGGAAACACGTGGAAGATCATTGACCGACACAGTAGACGAAGAAATCACAAAAGAACGTGGTCTCGTTGAAATAAAAAATTGTTTTGTATGTAATAGATAACGATTCGATGTAATAAAGTTGTATTGAAGTATATTAATTATTACCAATACAACGTATTCATATCGATTATCTGGGAAATTCACAAAAATATTAATGCTGTGAAATCTATTATTTTTACTTTCTAATACAAATTAAAATTAAACAACATTGTAGTGAATATATAGTTGAATATTGAAATAGTCAATCAAATTTTATCAATGCAAACGTGCGTTCGATCATATATGTGCGCATGTATATGTATATATAAATATATATGTATGTATGTATGTATCTATATACACACATACATATGACAACTTAATTTTTACATACTCTACATTACAATTGTTCTAATCAATATTGTAATGCATGAAGTGTTGTAATGTAACAAGATGTTGATTTTAAGATCTGAAAAAAATAATTAATAAGATACAATCGAATCTAATAAAATTGATATATTCACATACGTAGCTCTTATCAAATTCTATTCACCGTTCCAAATAATTCGAATGACATAGGAAATAAATTGCCAAGAAACAAAGTGGATTTCTTCAAGCTTCTTTGCAAGACCATCATTAATGAAACTTTTATCTTCGAAGATGCTAAATACCAAGGTATAGTATATCTATATATAGACATAAAAATATTCTTAAATGCTTGCAAAATTTTACATTAGGTCGAATAAACGGTTCAACATTAAACTTACGCTTGTTCTAAAATATTAATACTACAATCTATAAGTTTCTGTCCACAATAAAATACACCAAACAGATAACAAATGATATTAATGATACGTACAAAAGCATTAAGTATACGAGCAGAAGCACTGACAAGATTATAATTCTTATTCGAATTCATAGCTTGTAAAATCTACAATATACATAAAAGCATAATCATTTATAGATATTAACGATGAAAATAATAATTATATATATATATATTTATATAAATATATATATATATATTTATATATATATATATATTTATATATATATATATATTTATATATATATATTTATATATATATATATATTTATATATATATATATATATTTATATATATACATTTATATATAATGTAAAACACTCACGTCAGTGCAATTCATAATTAAAGATATGACGCTCAAAATTATTAACATGAAATAGGAGTTTGAGAAACAGGAATTCATATGATCGACGAACCTTTAAGAATTCGAAAATTTTCTTGATAAATAATTGTTATTGAAAGGAAAAGAAAATTAATATCAAAAAACTCTAATTCAAATAAATATTTAATTATATGAATATATAATAACATAAAAAAGAAAACATACTTGATAGCGTTTTGATGCGAATTAATAGCACGAATGATCAAGTAGTTGATTTCAAGACTTTTTCTCGATAATGAAATAGAATTTAAAGTACTCTCCTTAAATACTTGCTCAAAACGATATCTAAAAAAAACGAAAAAAGAATAAAAAAGAAAACAAACAATTAATAACAATATATATCATTGAGTAATGATAAAAATATGTAGAAAGACAAAATTCAAAAATTCAAATCTCTTCGATTTTTACCCAACAATATGAAAAAGACCGCAGGCATGTTGCACGATTATAACATAAAATGCTTCAGTCGCAATAACAACAGTCAGTCCAACGAGAAATATCGTATACATATGCAATAAAATAGGATAATAATAAACTTCCTGGTCTATAAAATATTCCGCTACAAATGGACATTCCAGTCGATGAGATCCATTTAATGGTACGAGTATATCGGAAATAAACAAAAAACTTGTCCAAATCAGTAGTAAAATAATCGTAAAGCAGGATAAAACTGATTAAAAAAAAAAAAAAAGAAAAAGAAAATAGATTATCAATAAATCCGTAAAACATTTTACGTTATATTCATAAATAAAAACTTTGAATTTCATACACAAACAGATGAAAGTAAATTTTTTTCCCTTTTGCGTATATTCTTCCATGATTTCGCGTTCCTTCTCATCGATCAATAAATTCCAATTACGTTGAATTCGTATGATAAGACACTTTATCTATATCAAACATTAGCACGAAAGAATAAAACAAAAATTCTCAAGATAATTCATTCACTGATAACTCATTCAATGATAATATACATGCGATTATGAAAATTAATTTACGTTTCCAAGGTGAAACATGTAAAAACCATACTTCCCAAGGTATACCATACAAAGAAACGCATAAGAAGAAACGTTCACGAAAAGATCGAGCGTAGGCTCAGAAGTGATGAGTTTGAATATCTAAAAAAAAGAAACAAAGAAAAAAAACAAAGAAAATAGTCATTCATTAAAACGTTTAATACACGTCATTAATTCTTATTATTTCTTATCATATGAAAATTAAGACATTCTACCTGAACGAGTACAGACGAAGCAAGAATAATATAAATAAAAAAACTTTGTATCATTTGTATAAATGAATTTATAGGCGACTTCTTAATCATTGGCCAAGAACCGATAACCAATAAAAGTAATCGATTAATATTATAATAACGAATCACTAATAAGTCCATTTTGTTTAACTATAAGTATAAACGAAGAACGATCTTAACCGAACGAGGACGAACTACACACTGATGACGTAGACGAATACGTTATTTTCCCATCCCACTTTCTCAGAACAATTTTCTTTCCTTTTTTCTTTTCGGCGTCATATGGCTAATTCCAGATAATATCGTAATATAGCAAACTACTAGGGAAATTTGATCTAATATTTATACACGATCGCAAATAAGTAAGTTTATTTTCTCCATTTGCAAAAATGGTATACCTATCGTATAGATATGATTATACATAATAATAGATGTAAACTGGAAACAATAAGAAATTGTTACAAAGACTTTTGTATTGTTTCCCATGAAAACTTTCTTCAACATAATCTTATATACGATAGTCTCTTGAATTACATTATTGCGACCAATTCATTTCGAATTCTTTACTATGACATATGCAACGTAGACAACAAACTTCAAACTTCGTTGCTACGTAAAATCATTTCAAGCTATCTCAAAACAAAAAATATTAAATTATTTTCAATATTTATTAGTTCCAATAATTTGACGATATCAAACATAATAAATATATTCATATATTTAACCATTCTAAAGAGCTTTTACCTATATTATTCATTAAATTAACGGACTCATCAATCGTTACAAAATATCGAAAATATCCATTTTGATCTACACATGAAAATTTCGAATAAAATTCGATTTGATTCAATAATCAAATTTTCTCGAATGCTATCAAATAAATGAACGTTACATTAACTGGTAGCGCCAACACGAACATGGAAACTTTTGAATTTCGTACGATATGCCATCTATTGGTCTCAAGGAACAATAAGATACAAAAATGTGTCGGTAATGTTAGAATAGTCGTTTGGAAGAAACGTCGAAGAATCTTGTACTCTTTCATTTGCTTTGGCCTAAGTTGTGTACGATGGCCAATCCTCGAAATAAAATTTTAAATCTTTACCGAAATTTAATACGAGAAAGTAAAAAATGGAATGCATATAACTTTAGGTAATTAATTATTGTTACTATGGCATGAATGTTTTGGATATCATTTTCTTATATTGATTATAAGAAATGTTTACTATTAGTTAACCCCTCATAAAAATACAAATGTTAATGAATAATTTCTTTAATTTTTATTCTACTATATTAATTTACCATTAGATGTATTTGTATAAAGCTACATACGATTAATTTCTCATTTGTTTAATTAAATTATCTTATATATTTAAAATTCATTTATCCTAAAAATTTATTTCTAATTAATCATTTTTCCTATTAAGTCAATAATGTTTTAACCTATATATTTTTTTTATATAGGATGTATGCACTTCGTAAAGTAAGATATGAATTCCAACAAAACAAAACATTACAAGATAAAAGAGAAATCGAGCAATGTTTCCAAAAAGGTCAAGAGGCATTAGAAATAATTAAACGACAAGTAATAATAGGACACTTATATGGTACAAGACCATTAATAATTGAAACAAAGACTGCACCTAAAAATAAACTTAATAGTAAATTTGTATAATATAATACGTTTAAAAGTACATTAAGTTTGTATACGCTGTAAAAACTTTTTGTGTTGTATATGTTATATAAATATTTTATGTTGCAAATGATTATAATACCATCATATTTAAAAAAAAAAAAATATATATATATATATATATATATATCTAATATATAACATTTAAACTAATATATATATTATATACAAGCCATTATAAATGTAATTGCGCAAGCATATACACAAGCTGTAGTAGATACATATTATTATATATCATTTATACATCAAGTACATTAATTTCTCAATGTATAATATCTAAACAAAATGTTTAATCAATAAATATTATTTAATAGATAATATACTTAGAATTAATTTTTATAAAGTAGAATCCTATTTTTAGATATGTATTAAAGCAAAAAAATTATTACCTAATATTTTGTGCATATAATATATAGATATGGAATATTATTGAACATGTTAAATATATCATATAAAAGAAATATTAACAATTTTAAAATGTTTAATATAAAAGAAAAAATTAATAATAAAATAAATATTGTGTGTATATATATATATATACATATATAGTAATTAATATATACATATACATATATATATACATATATAGTAATTAATATATACATATACATATATATATATATAGTAATATATACATATACATATACATATATATATACATATATAGTAATTAATATATACATATACATATATATATATATAGTAATATATACATATACATATATATATATATATATACATATATAGTAATTAATATATACATATGCATATATATATATATATATATATATATATATATATATGTATTATATAGTAATAATTTGTTTTCAAAAGTTCCGATTATTATAAAATAAACAATTACTATGGTGAATTATCTCATTTTCAAATTTATATATAATATCGATACGTCACCAAAATCAGCTGTTTCATGATGACGGTCGACTGCTGGATCGCAACGAAATAGTTTTCTCCTTCGATTGATAAAAAATATAATGAATTAATAAAACTTGTATATAAAGTAGTGATAAAATTCGAAAATTTGACAATTATGGCTACGAGAAATTTAACAGAACCTTTTATTTTAATGAGAAATAATGCTCTCCAAAGCAAACATATTTATGCCGAGCAGGTATTCGTATATAACCTGTATCTTAGAATGTTACATTTGATTGTTTCGTTAATAATAACAAATATATTATTTCAGAATTTATCGGATAGGACAGCTTTAGTTAGTTCAGATTCCATTCCTGCGGATAATGTTGAACTTAGAAATATAAATTTGAGTGATTCAACACCTCCAGTATGGGCAGATGCATTAGAAGAAACACAATATATTCTTAGTAGATTAAGAATAAAAATAGATAGTTTAATGGAATTGCATGCTAAACAATTAACTAGACCAACTTTAGATGATACATCACAGGTAAGGAACTTTCTTTGATTATAAGTAAATTTAAGTGATTTCCGATGTTTTTTATTTGCTTTGATTGTAATACGCATTGAACTATAAAAAATATTTGTTATAGGAAGAGAGGCAAATGGAACAACTATCTCGTGAAATAGGACGTGCATTTGCCAATGGTTATCGTCAAGTACAAACCATAAAAACAGCTGCAAGACACGAAACAAAACCTGCTCAACGACAACTTGCAGTAAATGCAGTATTAGCACTTTCTTCTGCCTTGCAAGATTTGGGAATACGTTATAGATCAGCTCAAAATCATTATTTAACACGTATGATTTAACATTATACTTGTATAATATGTAGAAAAACATTATTGTTTGTAATGTCATAGTAATAATTTAATATGACAATGTTTAAATAACTTAATATTATTTAATAACTTAAATAACTATTTCAGAGATTAAATCAAGGGAAGAAAGAAGTAATCAATTTTTTAGCGAAGATCAATCCTTTTTAAACAATGTGGCATCTGCTTCTTGGTTAATGGAATCTAATGATCCTAAAACTAATTACTGGGAAGAAGATGAACAACGGCAAGAATCTGTTCTCTTACAATTAGAAGATCCAGAAGAAAGGTTAAAAGTAGCTGTAGAAAGAGAACAACAAATTGGAAGTATAGTCCAAAGTATTGCAGACCTAAAGTATATATTTAAGGTAAATGATATAATAAAGAGAGTACGCGTATATCAAATCTCCTTTTTTTTTCTTCAATATTATTATAATGTATACTATCTTTCCAACATGTATTTTTGATGCAAGAAAGGAAAAAGTCTTAATGAAAATTTATATAGTTTGTATGCTTATCTCGTCTTTCATAATATATTTTATATGATTCAAAAGTAGAATATACTATAATTAAAGTCTTATGATAAGTTTTTATCAATATAACTATCAAATAGATAAGACAGATGAAATACTAGTACGTAAATCGAAATATTATTTAAGATTGTATTTCTGTGATATATATATCTCAAATTTAATTTAAAAATTAATTCATTTTAATCTTATACAAACAGGATCTGGCAAATATGGTACAGGACCAAGGAACTGTTTTAGATCGGATTGATTACAATATTGAACAGACACAAGTACAAGTATCTGAAGGTTACAAACAATTAAAAAAAGCTGATTCCTATCAAAGAGCTAATAGAAAACTTTATTGCATAGTAATTTTAGCAGCTGCTATTATTTTACTTTGTTTCTTATTTCTCTTATTAAAGACATAAAGTACAGTGTTCACAAACATATGGATCTTCATTAGTCTTCAATAAGTCATTGTTATTTATTAATATGTTTTCCAATTTAATTGCTTATATGTAAGAAATATGTAAAAATAGTGAAAGCGATACATTTTCATAAAAAGAAATATTCACCATAGAATTGAAAGAATATTTTTTAACACAGTATTTATAGACTTACATATAACAGTTATTAAAAAATAATGAATTACAGAAAAATAATGCAAACTGTGAATATTGATGATAATGCTTACAATGGCCTTTAAAAAAAATATTAATGTATTCCACATTATATCAATATATTTTCATTCAATACATAAATGTCAAAAATGTATGAGAATGACATAAATTTTATATGTATAACAGAACTAGAAATAATGTTTTGGAATTATACTAATTCAGTCCTACATATAATTATATTTCCATCTTGAATATTTAAATAATTTTACTATGTTACTGTCATTCCATAAAGTATACAATTAAAAAATATAATAAATATTTATTTATTGTATGTATATTATATGTACATTGCATATGTTATACAAGTATTCTTATCAAAGATGTTTAAAGAAATATTACCTTGTATTCGCCCATTATTCAATTATAAAATGCATTTTTATTTAATATATCGATGAATTTGATTGCAAATATTTATATTGTATATTCTTAATAGGAACTTTACTAATATTAATAATGAAAGAACTCATATACATTTCTGTTATATATTTCACAAATTTCACTGAAGAAGTTCTAAATATTCTCATATAAATATATATATATATATATTTATATATATATTGTATGTATTTAAAGACAAATTGTTGTATTACAATATATGACAGAAAATATTTCGTTAAATTAACGTATAAATTGTTTGTAAAGTATGAATAAATTGACTATTTCATGCAGTCCTGTCTTTTAATTTCAATTTTTTAGAAAAATCAGACACAATAATTCAAATCATAAAATGATCCATATATAATAGATTTCTTTCTTAATATAAAATTAAATTAAAAAATTTTATTGCTAATTTCACATACATATAATATATTTATAGCGTGTCTCATTACAATGACATAAGATCATTTGACAAAAAATGTTTACCTTGAAAGAAAATATAGATTGTCTGACCAAAAAAGTAAACTGCTGGTACAAAATTTGCAAGAACATTTGCACAGTTATCTTGCCATTAAACGTTATTTACTTGTAGAATACTATCTACATTTATACAACAACACTACGTATATAATTTTACAAAGTCAATGTATACAACCACACAGTGCATATAATATATACATACACTATATTAATATATACAACGAATGTGTTTAAGTGTATACCTCAAGTGCATTTCACACAGAAATTATTTATTTGCTCAATATCTAAAATTTCATTAATATTTTTATCTCTCCATATTTGTATTATTTTACATTTGATTAAGAACCCCCTAACAAAGCTGACAGAGATCTATCTTTTAACTTTTATTTACATATATTTTGTTCACGTATAAAGTGCAAAATATGTACGCATATATTATATGCATCACTTCGTACAAAAATGTCAATATTATAGTGGTATTTATATTCTCTACGTTATTATCATGAATAATTTTCATGAAATGTCTTAAAATTAGCAAATATTCGTAGAACTCGTATATGTGTTGCATAGTCTAAATATAAAAATAAATTTTTAAATATATACAAATTCGTGAAGAATCGTATTATGTAAATGCAGTTATTCAATAAAAATCGGTGGTAGAATTCTAGCAGAAAATGAAATAAGTACATTCCATTAAGTTGACGATAGATAAAAAAAGAAAGATATTAGACTTGTATCTCACATAGAAGTACTTAGAATATGTGCAAGAATACCAAATGCACCGCCCAGGATGAAACGAACAAAATTATCACCCACTAAAGGCCCTAAGGCATAAAGTCCCTTTTTAGGTGATTTCAAAACTTCATAAGTAATATCATCGACTTCGATCGGATTCGATTTACAATCGATAGATTTATCCAATACTTTTCCAAATCCTATACCGTTGTTTTCCAAATACGATAAATCTGGCTTGTACCCTACAAAAGAACATTATCATTACTTATTACAAATAGATTACAAATAGAGTATAAATACCATATTCTGCGCACATATTCGTTTATTTAAATATAGATTATTACTCCTTACCCACACATACATAATATAATCGATATAAAAACGTAACTTACCTATAAGTATCGCTACTATGGAAACCCGGAAATTTTTCAATTGTCCATTAGGTGTACAAAGAGTAACTGTATGCTTATTACATTGATTACTACTACAGTCATCATTGTTAATATTAAGATCCACAAGAGTGTATCCCGGCAATGATTTATAAAGAGGATAATTCGTACCACCATCTGCCATCATCTCATAAACTTTGTGATATTCCGGATAAATAGAACTTGGAAGCCACTGTAATTTATCAAAAGTATTTGTTTTTATTTTATCGCTCGATTCTTTGTTCCAGTCATTGGATGCATCACGGAATACATGTAACACTGGAATCCCTCGAAATCGTGCAGCCATAATAGCATCGGCTGCACTTAATCCAGCACCTATCACTAATACGGGATCCAATAATCCATCTAATGCGACTTCACCTACAATAAAACGGACGATCAACGTACAGTTAATATTTGAGTGAGTTGAATCCAAACAATAATTACCTACCATATTCGCTTACAAATTGATCTAACCGTGATTCTAGATCATTAAGATCATGAATCACCCATGAGGATTGTGATCTTTCTCCAGGTATTCCCAAATGATTAGATAAATCTGTTGTACCAGTGGCAAGAACTACCCTTCGACATCTATATTCAAAGTGTTTACCAGTCTTATTCTCATATCCTTCAACGATCCATCCAAAATCTTTATTGGCACCAATTGTGTCGATCGATCGTACCGAAGTCACAGTGGTCCCACATCGGAAATATTTATCTAATCCTTGTTCGGTAACATAATCTCTATAATAAGCAGCAACGGTACCTACCGGTACACGACTGGCAGGTTTACATGCACTTATTTTCTCTCTTGGAGAGTGAGAACACGGATCACCATTTGCCAATGTTGATTTTTGTACTTGTTCAATCTCTACCAATTTTTCCCATTGCCTTAAATCTAATCCTGGTAATGACATCCATCGACTTAAGCTGATTGTTAACACATTTGGATCCATAAACTGTAAATAAATAAATCATTTCTTGAAAATCATTCATTAATTTTAAATAATTCTAAAAAAAAAAACTAATCTATCGAATGGATACATTTTTAAATACCTGCCAAGCTCCACCAGGCTGACCTTTACCAAGAACTACGTGATCAATAATTTTGTGTTCCGAATGTTGATCTTTAGACTTCCAATGCAAAAGCGAAGGCACATCGAGACCGGCATCGACGCATGGATTTTGCAGCTGGTCCATAAGTAAAGACAAAGGTCGACCACCGCTTCTGCCCTCGAGACCGGACGACAACGTTTCCAATTTCCATCGTGAACTGTGGGCTAAGTCTCTACCTCGTGTTAAACCGTCGTTAGCAACATTACATTGACGTCGTGGGCACGCATCCTCATCTAATTTATTTCGCGTCGTCTCGTCACTCCCGTGAACATCATCATCGTTGGTAAACGGTTTCGTTGTAAAATGGAGACGTGCCGTCAGCATGTCGTCGACTGGGTGAGGCTCACCGGTATAATAAGGCCAATTACCAGCGAGCATATATGACAAAGAAATACCGCTTGGTCCATTTCCTAAAAAATATATGATCCCAGTATAATTAAATAGAATGTCTAATCTTTATTTTAAAAAGGATCCTCTAAACGAAATATAATGTATCATTTTAATATTAAATATTTTCACTAGCCTTACCGCTTGATTAATTTTCTACGAAGTATAGTCAACGTAATTTAGAAATGCCTAAATGTCCTCTAATGATCATAGTTCGATGAAATAAATTATTTTTTACCAGCAAAAATTTTCATTAGTTCCTTACCTACGATGACTATGTCCTTGTAGACGACGTCGTTATCATCGTCATCGCAATTATTTTGCATTCTTTCTCTCGGCGTTCGGAACAAACGGGTTGGCCGTAAAAAAATTAATGTCAGTACTGTGGTTTAGATCGTAATCTGAAACGTAATAACTCTACGTTAGAGAAGTCATTATAAAATGTTTCAGCATTCAGATGTATAATTGCTGCAAAACGTTCTTCCTATCGACCGAGATAACAATTAAATTGGCAATGAAAAAGAGAGAGAGAAAAAAAGAAGAAGGAGAAGACAATGAATTAAAATTACGCGAATAGTGCTTGCGATTTTGCTTAATCATTCCATGATGATGCCTATAATGAGAAATAATTGTAATGATGCAACAAGAGTCGCCGTTCATAATTAACGCGCTAGTTAGACGAAAATATACGTTAGAGACTTGTCACAAACACATTATAAGACATAAAACGCTTTTATCATTCAACGTTTGATTGTTGTTTTCTTTCTTTTTCTTTTTTCGTCTTTTTGGTCATTCTTTTATTCATTCTTCCTTTATAGAATTCTAGAGCTCATGAAGCTGGTAATTTTCCATATTTATTGTTAGATCGAGGGAATATTTTACAAGAATAAGAGCTTATCACAATGTAAAGATAAGAAAAGAAAATCTCATTAATTCCATTTGTAGTTTATATTAATAATTATATGAATTTGATATTATTATTATTTTCTTTTTTTTTTGTTTTATAAACCACAAATATTCCATTCTCCGACAAAACAATAAAAATCTACAATGAGTGACAATCTTCGACTAGAAACAACCTTTACCGGTTTATTTTATTTCCTAAGCTTCTAATATGATTCGATCGCATGATATTACGACAACATTGATCGATTTGACCTTTCAACATTGACAAAGTCACATCTTTCGATCTAAAAAAGAAAGGAAGATAAAAAAAATAGAATCTATTGGTTTATATATTCGAACATATATATATATATATATATATATATATATATATATATATATACATATATATATATATATATATATATATATATACATATATATATACACACATGATTTCTAAACGATAAGAGTAAAATTTAAATATAAAACTTCGGTCATTAATCTCTAACAATTCGTTTGAATAATCATTCATTTGAATAATCATTAATTTTAAGAACATAAAAAAAAGAAAATAAGAGAATGAACGAATAAGAATATTTTTTATGCGACGAAAGAAAAAAAAATTCATTCGAGTAACTAAAAACGTAGCGAAAATTCGAGATGTTTTTAAAATCTAAGTTATGTCGCAATATTTGGACAATTTTTATTAAGAAGAATTTCTCCAATTTCTCGATTCCATGAGATTTCGTTCAGGGTCGGTTGGGTCATGGCTCGTTTGATATATCGACGTCGAGTAAGATTTTTTACGCAACGAAAACACAACGAAAAGAAGTTAGATAAG